TTGTTGTTAGAAGAGTCTCAGTCTGCTGCAAGGCTAGAATACTGTGGTGTCCTTGTAGCTCACGGCAACCTCAAATTCCCAGGCTCAAGCAATCTTCCTGCCTCAGCTTCCAGAGTAGCTAAGACTATAGGCGTCCCCACCCCAACACCACCCACTACAAGACCTGGCTAATTTTTCTATTTTTAGTAGAGATGAGTCTAGCTCTTGCTCAGGCTGGTCTGAAACTCCTGAATTCAAGTGATCCTACCACCTTGGCTTCTCAGGGTGTAGGATTACAAGCTTGAGAGCCACCATGCCTAATGTCTAACTTCTATTGATGCCATTTCCATCATAAAAGCCACTAGGGTTATGGAGTTCCCAAGGAGGCGATTCTCTTGAGTACTCAGAGTCATTCATTCAGAGTGTCTAATACACAGGCTCAAGCCACTCAACAAGTCAGTCAATGTTGCAAACTATACATAAGAGTATACTTAATATATAAATGGATAGATTAAAATTTCCACATTAAACAAAGTAACATTTAACATCAAGAGAAAAGAAAGAGAAAAGGGGCTCAGTTCTCATAGCTCGGTGAGTAGGGCCCCAGCCATATACACCGAGGCTGGTGGGTTTGAACCCGACCAGGGCCTGCTAAAGAACAATGACAACTGCAACCAAAAAATAGTCGGGCATTGTGGGGGTGCCTGTAGTCCCAGCTACTTGGGAGGCCGAGGCAGGAGAATCACTTAAGCCCAAGAGTTTTTTGGGTTTTTTTGTAGAGACAGAGTCTCACTCTATTGCCCTCAGTAGACTGCCATAGCATCACACAGCTCACAGCAACCTCCAACTCTTGGGCTTAGGCGATTCTCTTGCTTCAGCCTCCCAAGTAGCTGGGACTACAGGCGCCCACCACAACACCCAGCTATTTTTTCTTGTTGTTGTTGCAGTTTGGCCAGGGCCGGGTTTGAACCTGCCACCTTCAGCATATGGGCCCGGCACCCTACTCACTGAGCCACAGGCGCTGCCCTAAGCCCAAGAGTTTGAGGTTGCTGTGAACTGCCATCTGCCCAGGGCCACACAGTGAGACTCTGTCTCAAAAAAAAAAAAAAAAAAAGA